TTTTTAGTAGAGACGGGGTTTCACCATGTTGACCAGGATGGTCTCGATCTCTTGACCTCGTGATCCACCCGCCTCGGCCTCCCAAAGTGCTGGGATTACAGGCTTGAGCCACCGCGCCCGGCTGACAACCTGATTTTTAAGGGGCTGGAGATTCTAACAGAAACTTCACCAAAGAAGATGGTCATAAACGCATGAAGAGTTTTTCAACAAGAAAATGCAAACTAGGCCAGGCTCAGTGGTTCATACCTATAATCCTCACGCTTTGGGAAGCTGAGGCGGGAGGATTTCTTGAGGCCAGGAGTTCAAGATCAGCCTGGGTAACAAAATAAAACCCCATCTCTGCAAAGGCTCTAAAAAATTAGCCAGGCATGGTGGTATGTGCCTGTAGTACTAGCTACTTGGGAGGCTGAGGCGGGAGGATCAATCACCTGAGCCCAACAGTTCGAGGCGACAGTAAGCTATGATCATGCCATGACACTCCAGCCTCAGCCCGGGCGACACAGCAAGATCCTGTCTCTAAGAACAAAGAAAGATAAAAGAAGAAGAAAATGCAAATTAAAACCCAATAAGATTCAAATACACACCCAGTAGAGTGACTAACTATAAAGCAAACAACACCAAGTGTAGTGAGGAACTAGAACTCTGAAAACATTGCTCAGGGGAAACATACAATGGCAGAATCACTTTGAAGAAACCATTCGTCTGTATCTTTTTTTTTTTTTTTTTTTTGGAGACAGTCTCACTCTGTCACCTAGGCTGTAGTGTGGGGGTATGATCGTGGCTCACTGCAACCTCTGACTCCTGGATTTAAGCGATTCTCTGGCCTCAGCCTCCCAGGTAGCAGGGATCACAGGTGCCTGTCACCACACCCAGCTAATTTTTGTATTTTTTGTAGAGACAGGGTTTCACCATGTTGGCCAGGCTGGTCTTGAACTCCTAACCTCAGGTGATCCACCTGCCTCGGCCTCCCAAAGTGCTGGGATTACAGGTGTGAGCCACCGCGCCCAGCCTGTCTGTGTCTTAAAAGGGTAAATTTATACTTACTATATGACCCAGTAATTCTGTTATCTGTTAGGGGCTGATTTGTGTCCCCTCAAAATTCATACATCGATGCCCTAACCCTCAGTACCTCAGAATGTGACTGTATGTGGAGATACAGCTTTTAAAGAGGTAGTTAAGTTAGCATGAGGCCATTAAAGTTGGGATGGGACCTCATTCGAGGATATGTGGACACACAGAGAGACACCAGGGATGCACATGCACAGAGGAAACACAGTGTGAGCACACGGCGAGAAGGCAAGGGGAGAGGCCTGAGGTAAAACCAAACCTGCCGACACCTTGAGCATGGATTTCCAGCCTCCAGAACTGCCAGAAAGCAATTTCCTTTGTTTAAACCACCTAGTATATAGTATTTTATTTTAGCAACCCTACCAACATCCAACGGAAATTAAAATCTATATCCATACATAGACTTGTACAGGAATGTACAAGAAGCTTTATTCATATTTGCTCAGAAATGTAAATAATCCAAATGTTCATCAACTAAACTCTCCTTCTCTCCCTCTTCCTCCTCCTCCTCTATCTCCTCCTCTTTCTCCACCATTGCCTCATTCCGAGGTTTGGAAGTCCTACCCTGGGTGCATTTAAAAGCAGGTGAATAGATCTAAATATGTTATAATATATCCATCCAATGGAATATTAATGATAAAAAGGAGTGAACTGTCTGGGCGCAGTGGCTCATGCCTATAATCCCAACACTTTGGGAGGGCCAAGGTGTGTGGATCGCTTGAACCCAGGAGTTCGAGACCAGCCTGGGCAACATGGTGAAACCCTGTCTCTACAAAAAATAGAAAAATTAGTCCGATGTGATGGCACACACCTGTAATCCCAACAACTCAGGAGGCTGAGGCAGGAGGATCACTTGAGCCCATTGGTGGAGGCTGCAGTGAGCCAAGATGATCCCACTGCACTCCAGCCTGCGTGACAAAGCGAGACTCTGATTCAAAGGAAAAAAAAGGAATGAATCGTTGATGCATAGAGCATTGCAGATGAACTTCAGCAATGTTATGCAGACACAGAGAAGTCGGAGGTGAAACAGCATATATTGTCTGATTCCATTTGCATGAAACTCTAGAAAAATCTAATCTAATCTATAATGACAGCTTATTGGTGGCTGCCTGGAGGGAGATTAAACTGGGAAAGGTAGGAGGGAATTCTGGGGGGAATGGAACATTCTACATCTCAAGTGCAGTAGTGGTTACACAGGTGAATACATTGGCCAAAACAAACCATTCACTTAAAATGCATTTTGTTGGAAACAAATTATGCCTCACTTAAAAAAAAAAATTTTTTTTTTTGAGACAGAGTTTTACTCTTGTTGCTCAGGCTGGAGTGCAGTGGCACGATCTTGGCTCACTGCAACCTCTACCTCCCAGGTTCAAGCAATTCTCCTGCCTCAGCCTTCCAAGTAGCTGGGATTCCAGGTGCGCACCACCATGCCTGGCTAATTTTTATATTTTTAGTAGAGATGGGATTTCACCATGTTGGCCAGGCTGGTTTTGAACTCCTGACCTCAGGTGATATGCCTGCCTTGGCCTCCCAAAGTTCTGGGATTACAGGTGTGAGCCACTGCTCCCAGCCCCCCAAAAAATTTCTAATGTGTCCTCAATCATCAGAAGGATTGGAAGCCCTGCCCTGGATGTATTTAAAGGCAGGTGAACAGAGGCAGAACAGCTTCTGGGTGGGTAACCAAAGTGCTTTGTCATCACAGGAGGTACGAGGAGACCAGCGAAAATGAGGCAGTGGCTGAGGAAGAGGAGGAGGTGGAGGAGGAGGAGGGAGAAGAGGACGTTTTCACTGAGAAAGCCTCACCTGATATGGATGGGTACGCAGCATTAAAGGTAGGAAGATCTGGGGGCATGGAAGGGCTGTCGTGGGGAAGGAGCCTTCAATCCTTGCGCAGGAGCAGTCAGAAAAGGCTCAGAACTAAATCTTGGCCTCCAGCATCAGGGCATAAGCCCTTGCAATGGAGTGACCTTTGGATCATTCCGGTGAGAGTAAACCAGGAGAGGCCAACTCACCCATCTCTTTTCTTCTGCCCTCTTCACTTTCCCTGCCTTCTCTGGACAGACCTCAAGCCTTGCAGTCAGATGGGTTTGGGTTCAGATTCTGGCTCTGCCACTCCCTGGCTGTGTAGTCTTAGGCAGATGACTTCATCCCTCTTAAGCCTCTATTTTCTCATGTCTAAAATGGGCACAGTAATACCAACCTTGCAGATAGGCTCTAAAAATGTATTTCTTCATGTGTGTCTGCGCACAGTGCGATAGGAAAAAGGCCAGACTCCCATTGCTCCCTGCTTCCCTATTGCACTAGGGTTACATGTTATAGCAGGATTCACTCCCCATAGACAGCTGGCTCCAGGACTCCTGGAGCTAGAGCACCGGCTGTGTTTGAGCGAGGCTGCAGCTGGAGCACCGCACTAAGGTACCTGACCACGGCAGGTGCAGTAGAACCTGGGCCCTCGTTCTAACTCCTCCACACCAAGGGGGCGTCATTTTGCAATTTCTCCAGCCAGAGGGGGTGCACTCTTTAAAAATTATATAAAGGCACTATTTTGGCTGACAAAGGTCCTGCATATAGGTGTTTTTGTTTATCTTTTCCTGACGACTACTGTGTGCACGGGCAGTAAAAAACCTGATGGGTTGGTTTTAAAAACAAGACTTGCTGATTGCCTTCAGAATTCGATGAAAGCAACGATAGTTCTTTGCCAGGGCTGTGGAAGCCTTGCATGTGGTTTTTCAAAATGTGCTTGGTTTATAAGTTTTTTGTGTGTGTTTTATTTATTTATTTTTTTAAAATTTATTTATTTTTTTTTGAGACAGAGCCTCATTCTGTTGCCCAGGCTGGAGTGAAAAGGTTCAGTCTCAGCTCACTACAACCTCCACCTCCTGGGTCCAAGCAATTCTCCTTCCTCAGCCTCCCGAGTAGCCGGGATTATAGGTGCACACCACCACGCCTGGCTAATTTTTGCATTTTTAGTAGAGATGGGGTTTTACCATGTTGGCCAGGCTGGTCTCGAACTCCTGACCTAATGATCCGCCCACCTTAGCCTCCCAAAGTGCTGGGATTACAGGCGTGAGCCACCATACCCGGCCTGGTTTAAAAGTTTTGTGAGTGTGACGTGAAGACCCACATAAGGAAATACATGTTTAGAGCCTATCTGCAAGGTTGGCATTATTGTGCCCATTTTAGAGATGAGAAAATGGAAGCTTAAGAGGGATGAAGTCATCTGCCTCTGATGTACTGAGTGTGCTCCCACCAGCCCCCAACCACATGTGCCACAGGGGTGGGGGTTTGGCACTCCGGGCCTTGGGTACTGTCCTGGCTGCACCAGGCTGAGCTCATCTAACAGGGCTAATGCCGAGGAAGTCCTGGTTGTGTCTGTGGGGAAAGGTGAGCTGGCAGGATGGAGGAGGGGCAGCTGAGTGGTCTCTGGTGGGTAGCCGAGGCTCTGGACACTGGTGGCTTCAAGGTGTGACTTCTTCCTCAGGTGGACAAAGAGACCAACACCGAGACCCCGGCCCCATCCCCCACAGTGGTGCGACCCAAGGACCGGAGGGTGGGCACCCCGTCCCCGGGGCCATTTCTTCGAGGGAGCACCATCATCCGCTCTAAGACCTTCTCCCCGGGACCCCAGAGCCAGTACGTGTGCCGGGTAAGTGAGGGTGCGTCCCCCTTCTCCTCCCCTCATGGTAGCCGAGAGCCTCACACAGGGCTGAGTGCAAAGCCCATTACTCTCAAGTTTTGGGGTGACTTTGGGCATGTTAAACACTTCAGTTGACTCAGGTAAAGTTCACAGGCCTACTTTATAGGATTGTCGTAGATAAGCAATAGAAAAGGCTTGGTAGTTAGGACTTGTTCAATGTTATTATAATTCCAACCAACTCACTTCCTCCGTGTTCACACTCTGGCCTATCCTCCTACAACCATGTGCTGAGATCAGAGGGGGACCCCTCAATATCCTCGAGATACACGGGCATTTCTTTCCCACCTCCAGGGCAGTTCTGATGTACAGCCTGAGGCTGCAAAATTACAGCAGACCTCTATTACTTGGCTACCAGTTTGTTTTTTTTTTAATTGAACCTGTTGCTGCCAGTTTATTTTTTAATTGAACCTGTTACTAACATTTGAAACTTTTTTTTCTTAAGACGGAGTCTCCCTCTGTTGCCTCCCCAGTTCAAGCGATTCTCCTGCCTCAGCCTCCCAAGTAACTGGGATTACAGGTGCCTGCCACCACAGTCAGCTAATTTGTTTTTTTTATATTTCTAGTAGAGATAGGGTTTTACCATGTTGGTCAGGTTGGTCTCAAACTCCTGACCTCGTGATCCGTCTGCCTCGGCCTCCCAAAGTGCTAGGATAACAGGCTTCAGCCACCGTGCCTGGCCTAACATGTAAAACTTTTTTAAAAGGTGGCCAGATGCAGTGGCTCACACCTATAATCCCAGCACTTTGGGAAGCTGAGGCAGGAGGGTCACTGAGGCCAGGAGTTTAAAACCAGTGTGGTCAACATCGTGAGACCATCTCCACCTATGAAAAAATTAAAAATTAGCTGGGCATGGTGGCATGCACTTATAGTCCCATCTAGTGGGGAGGCTGAGGCAGGAGAATTACTTGAGCCCAGGAGTCCAACGCTGCAGTGAGCCATGATTGCACCACAGCACTCCAGCCTGGGCAATAGAGTAAGAACCTTTCTTTAAAAAAAAATTATTTTAACTTAAAAGGCAATTAAAACAAAAATAAAGCTGGGCGCAGTGGATCATGCCTGTAATCCAAGCAGTTTGGGAGGCTGAGGTGGGTGGATCACTTGAGGCCAGCAGTTTGAGACCAGCATGTCCCACATGGCGAAACTCTGTATTTATATGTATAATATTTAAAAATGTAATGTATAATATTTAAAAATAAAAAATATTAGCCGGGTGTGTGGCACATGTTTGCAATCCCAGATACTTGGGAGGCTGAGGCAGGAGAATCCTTCAATCCAGGAGGCAGAGGTTGCAGTGAGCTGAGATCACGCCATTGCACTCTGGCCTGGGTGACAAGAGCAAAACTCCATCTTAAAAAAATGAAATAAAATAAAATAGGAATTTGACATAAAATCCCAGTTCTTCTTGGAAAAAAGAGACTGTATGTCACCACAGACCACACACATTGGCTGCAATTGGCTAGCACTGAGGTGGGGCAATTGCCCTTAGGTGATGGAGGTGGGGAGCTTTCCAGTCCACTCCAGGCTCTATCTGGCCCTCTTTACCTCTTCCATTTCCCCACCAGCTCCTGTAGACCCCAGAGGAAGTACAAGCCCTGCAGTGGCTTTTTTTCCTTCATAGCCTTACTTTCCTTGCTTTCCAGTTCCCCTACTCCTTTCCCTTTCTAGGCCAGCCCACCTTCCTTCATTCATTCAGACTCCCCTGCATGGGAGGTCTGAGTGCTTACTGAGTCTGAAGGATCATGCCTTTGCTGGAGCTACAGAACCAGTCCTTGCTCCTGACCTTCCATGGGATGGCACAGATAAGACATGTGCCTCCCTTACCTGCTTCCTGGGTTCCAGTAATATCAGTGTCCTTCCTTCCTCCACACCATATACAGCCAGTGAATAATAGCTCAACAGAATCTTCCTGCCTAATGTCCCAATAAGTTATCACAGAAGGCCTATGGAGAACATACTTCGTCCTCTGCCTGCCACTTACCTGATTATTATTATGGAGGGAAGGGGAGAGGAAGGGACGGATCTCATTATCTGCATATTCTGTGTTCAAGGCCTGCAATTATATAAGATTGAGTAGGGAAGCTCATTTCTTTATAATGTGAAAATGTTGCTAATGACTGGCTACTTATCAAATGAGTCCCCATGAAAACACTCCTTGCAGTGCCTCCCAGGAGCAACATAAACCTCTCCCTTCTGTGGTAGATCTCTAGCTAATTGTTTGAACTTGTAAGCATCTGAAAAGATAATGCAGGCTTGTCATGTTGGCTTCGTATTTTGCACAAGGTACAGGATTTCCTGAAGTCACTGAATGTGATGTTGGGCTTCCTAAATCACAGGTAGAGAAGATGCTGCAATTAAGCTGGCTCACAGCTGCAGCAGAGAAAAATCCAATCGGTGCTTCTCTACTAAAAATACAAAATTAGTCAGGCGTGGTGGCGCATGCCTGTAATCCCAGCTATTTGGGAGGCTGAGGCAGGAAAATCACTTGAACCTGGGAGGTAGAGGTTGCAGTGAGCTGAGATCGCACCATCGCACTCCAGCCTGGGCAACAAGAGCGAAACTCTGTTCCAAAAAAAACATTAATAATTTAAATGATTTAGAAAAGCCCTTAAGACAATGAATAAGCTCCCCACCTTTTTTTGGAAAATTACTGCCATTATGAACACACAGTATCAATCAAACATAAAGAGAAGAATGTCGCTCATTAGAAAAACCACAGAAAAAAAAATTGTGTTTCATTCGTTCATTTTCATCAGGATTAGAATGTGGTTGTAATTCTGTTAAATGGGAACTATAAAATAGAATAACTTTGGTGAAATGTTTATCTTTTCCACCTATAGACTCAAGGCTCAAGCATTTTTCCCCAGTGTTTACTGTAAAATTCTGGTTCTCTGTTTAAAGGGATTTACTTTTTTTCTTTTTCTTTTTTTTTTTTTTTTTTTGAGACAG